GGAGGCGCGCATCCGCGCCGACCAGGACACCATCCGCGAGCTCACCGGCAAGCTGGGCCGCTGCGAGAGCGGCCTGCCGCGCGGCCTCCAGGACGCCGGGCCCCGCCGCGACGCCATGGCCGACGGGCCCTGGGACTCGCCCGCGCTCATCCTGGAGCTGGAGGACGCCGTGCGCGCCCTCCGGGACCGCATCGACCGCATCGAGGTGAGCGCCGCGCGCCGTCGGGGGAGCCGCCCGGATGGGAGGGGCGGCCCGACTGCCGGGCTGAGGGACCCTTTGGGGACTCCCGCGGGTCCCCGAGCCTCCGGTCTGCTGTCTGGTCTGTGCAAAGAGGACGATGGTTCCCTCCTCGCTGGCGAGGCGGGAGGATTCTGGCAGAGAACGCAGGCAGGCATTTGGCACAGTGACTGAAGCACGGGGGGTGCGCCAGCAAGGCTTGTTCCTGATCCTTTTTCCTCTCCGGGCACCTCTCTGAGCCTCGGTTTCTGAGGCTGTAAAATGGGTATAACGGTGTCCACTCGTAGTGGAAACTGATTAAAAGGTAGGTATGTGGAAATGCGTGGCACATAGTAGGATCTCATTAAATATCTTTTCATTTCCTTCTTCCAGACACCCCAAAGCAGCACCAGCCCCACACCCACTCTCCATGGTCAGGAGAGGATGCGCTGTCCAAGGGACTAGGGGTTCCTCCTCTCATGCTGAAGAGAGGAGAACAGTGCCCCATAAGACAAACCTGGGCGCCCCTCCCTGCCTCCCACCCCTGAATCCCCCGCTTGGGCTTGGACTACAGACCCGATGGCAGAAGCTCACAGCTCACGTCCAGCCCCGGATATCTGGGAGCCCACAGCTCTGGGGTGGGGGCTGGGTGGAGAATAGCGCCCCATCCCAGTTTCTCCTCCACTCACCTTTTCCAGACTTTCCTGGCTCAGGCTTGGGGTCAGACACAGGAGGGTCTGATGGGGGGCGCCCCCTCTTGGCTGTGGTGTGACCTTAGGCCAGTCATTTCCCCTTTGAAGTCCAGAGGAAGGAAATCATGGCCACGGCCACCTTCCTCTCCTTGAGAACAAACTTGAGGTTCCCGGAAGTGCAGTCAGACAGTCAGATTGGGCAGGACAAACATCTGGAAGACACTGACCATCCCCAGCCGTGGACTGATTTCCAGACTGCAAGGAAGAGAACGGTTAGCAACAAAATCAGATCTGTGCAAGGAGGGGGAGAAGAGGCCAAAGCACCAGCTGCCCTCTATGTTCCTCGCCCCCTCCACACGCCGCCTCCCGCTGACCGAGTGTGGCAGGCAGGGGGAGGGAGGGGAGAGGCCGGAAGTCAGTGCAGGCCCCTCCTGCCCCTTCCATGGTTCTGTAGTTAAACCCCTGGGCAAGCAGCACAGGTGATGCCCGTGTGGAAGGGGGAGGATGCCCGTGGTCCAGCAGCCCCCCAGAAAGTCTGTGCTGGCATCAGCACCCACCCCAGGGTGTCAGAGCCGCAGCTAGGTGGCCACTGCAGCCAACCCTTGCCCTTACAGATGAGTGCACCTGGGCCCAGCACCTGCTCAGGTGAGTGTCAGAGGCAGGAGGAAAGTCGGACCAGCACCCTTCTTCACCTCCAGCTCTGGGGGGTTTCTAGGATGAGACTTCTGAGAGCAGGAAAATAATCAGGGAAAAGCTCCAAGTACACAGTGAAGGGGAGTCTCAGTTTCCTCACCTGTAAAATGGGGATAATAATAGCACCTACCTTATTGGGTGTTAGGAGGATTAAGTAAATTAATCTCTGCAAAGGGCCTTGAACAGTGCCTGGCACAAAGGTAGATTCAATCAATTTGAGTGATTGCTATTTTTACCATTAAGCTATAATGTTGCTAATTTTGTAAGTACAGCCAAAAATCAAAATGGGAACAAACTCTCCTTTTAGGAAACAGATTTTATTAATGTTTTTTTAAAAAGATTTGATTTTTCAATAAACTTCCTCTTGCCTGCCATAGCCTCTGCCCCCATACCCAGATGGCACAGGTGACTTCTTTCATGTCTGAGGCTGGCAGGGCTGGGTTTGCCCTGGACCTGTTCCCCCAGCATCTACAGCACTTGGCAGGGTGGGTTCCCCTCCGGTTAGCCTGCTGGGGCTGGGGAAATCCTGGTGGCTGGGATTTGGCAACAGGTCAGTCTTCCAGGCTGGGGGAGCCCTGGCTTCCCCACATACACCTTCTGTTTTCCGAGTGCAGTGGCCATGCAGAGAGGAAGGCAGGGGGCTGCTTGGCCATCAGGTCTGCCTTCTGAGCCTGGCAGCAGCCAGGGCCACTCTCTTTGGGGCCTTTGGGAGGGGCTGGGGTCTGGAGCCCAACAGATGTAGGGTCAGACTACTGGTCCCATGCATCCTTTAGTGACTGTCTGATTTTTCCCTCACTTCTCATCCAATATCCTCAAAAGCCCCCAGATTTGCAGGGTCTCCTTTCTCTCCCACCAGGGCACACTAAAAGTGCTCTTGCTAACGTCCCCGAAGTGGGTCAAATGAGTGAGGACTCTTTTCAGTCAGTATCTTGCTGGACCCCTCTCTGACATCTGCTGATCTTTCCCTCCTACAGATCTCCATGCCCTTGGATTCTAGATACTTCTCACCTGCACCCCCACCTCTGACCACTGCCTCTCTGTCCCCTGTAGGGATCTCCTCCTTTAAGGTGTGCCCCCTGTGGCTCTCCTCTCACTTTCCCTGGGTGACCTCAGCCACACCCCGAGGCTCCCAACACCCATTCCACCGTGGGGCCCCAAACCAAATCTGTCTCCAGCCCAGGTTTCCTTCCCAAGCTCCAGACCCATAGACCAGCTGCTTCCTGAGCCTCTCCCTCTGGAGTTCCAACCTGAACTTAGTACCTCCCAACCTGCTTCTTGGTGTGCTCTGAGGAGCCGTCCTGGTCTCCTCTTTCCCCTCCTGGTCTGCTCAGCCACATCTCTCAGTGCACATTTGTGACAGCCTCTTTGCTAGTCTCCCATCTCCAGCCACACTCTTCCTCCATCTTCCCAGCAGCCTCAGGGGTCTCCCTTAAGGCATCCCAGGATGCCATTTCAGATCTGGCCAGACCCCTCTCTCAGTTTGTTCTTGCCTCTGCCCAGACCACCCCCTGCTCCTCATCTAAGAGTCTTCTCTGAGGACACCTCCTCCCAGAGGCCTTCCCTGATCATACTCTGTCCCCTTCCTATCCCCATCCATGCTCCCACAGTCCTCACATTTCCCTGCCCATCCCCACCAGGCACATCACTGCATTGCCCCCTCCCCACCCTGCTGGACCCAGCTACAAAAGGGGAGGTAAACTCAGGCTGGCCTGTCCTCTCTCGGCAGGCCTCAAGTCAGAGCCACATTTGAGGGCTTGGGAGAAATTGTCTTTTCTGTTTACATTTTTGTTATCATTGTTGTTTGTTGAAAAAAGCCAAAAGGTTTTGGGGAGGAAATCGCATTTTCTCCCTTGTTGCAGCCCCCTTTAGTCCTATCTGCATGTAGCCATTGCTGCAGAGTTGCTGTGTAATTACCATTTTAATGACGGCCGTAATATCCTGGGATTCATCTCCAGCTCCACCATCCATCACTCACTAGATTGTCTCCTGTTGCTGGAGATGTAGATTGTTTCTAATTATTTTCCTTCTAGATGCTCATTGCAGGCTCAATGTCATACAGAGCGTTATTTGGATTTTTCTTTTTAAGTCTATTGAATTATTTCCTTAGGCTGAATTCCCAGGAGTGGTATTACTGGGTCAGAGGATATTGACTTTTTATGGCTGTGGCCAAGAACCACTTTCCAGGAGAGCAGGGCCATTTTTGTGGCAACAGGCCATGTCCGCATGTTCCAGTGTTCCATTTTTGCACTAATTTAATGTATGTATACAATGAAATTTCAAGATTGATTTAAATACCATTTCTTTGACATAAACCACATCCTTAACCCAGCCTGGCAAGCTGGTTGCCGCCTCCCATCCTGGAGTGTGAGCCAAATAACCATTATAGCTCACACTTACTGAGCACTTACCATGCATCAGGCACTGTGCGTTGTTTCATTTAATCCCCATGAAATCTCTAGAAGGGACGTACTAGTCTATCCCCCTTTTACAAAGAAAACAAGCCTTTGAGGACTGGGCTTCATCCCTCTCGCTCTAGGTGCTTTCAGACGGAGGTGGCCTAGGGCAGGATCCAGCAACAGGAACTACCCTCACCTGTCATTCTCACTATCCTGAAGGTGGGTGAGGTCTGACTCCACCAGATGGGCCTAGAGTTAATGATGAAGAGCAAGGGCTCTGGAGCCAGACACTTACAGGGTCAAATCTAGGCTCCCCTGCTGTGTGACCTGGGGCCAGTTTCTCAACCTCTCTGAACCAGTCCTCAAAGATTTGTCCTACTGGCTGGCAAGATAACCAGGAGGCTCACTGTCAGACCCTTACTGTTGATGACAATAACAGCAGCTAAACTAGGCACTTTCATGCATACAAGCTTATTCAGTCTTCAGCTCTATGGAGAAGGCCATATGCATTCCCATCTTACAGATGAGAAAGTGGAGGCAACAAGTGTCTGAGGGACACAGAACCAGGCAGATCAGTGCCACCCTCCACCCCTGGCTTCGGTTTTCCTATCTGTAAAATGAAACAGAAGACCAGAGGCCAGATGCTTCCTGAACATGCTTCCAGCTCTAAATAGTCTCTAAAATAGGAAGGCTGGGCGGCATAGAGACCAGTTCTTGCAGCTTTAGGCCAATCACTCTCCCTGACTGAGCCTCAGCTTTTTTATATCTGTAAAATGGGTAGGAGGAGAGGCTACGTTTGGTCCTGGCCCCTTTGGGCTCTAAATTCTGAGTTTTGGGGCAGGTACCTCCTGAATAGGAATTGTATGGGGGGGGGGTTTACATGTGTACGCAGCCCCTATGCCCCCATCCACCCATTCCCAGGTCTTTATTTCCCAGGGAGATCTGCAGATAAACAGTGGCTCAGAGGATCTATTGGTGCCTTTTCTAAAGTCTGTTGGTTGCTTTTGCTTTTCTCTTACATTGCTGCCCATTCTGGAAGCTACTCCTCAGTGGGGGCTGGTTCCCCTAACCCTGCCTCTTTGGCAGTGGAGGGAGTGTAGGAGGAGGGAGTGACCAGGAGCCGGCAGAATGTGGGAGAGAGGTTCTGCCTGCTGACCTTTGTTTGAGGATGTGGACCACAGCGTCCTTCCCCTCCCTTGTGTCCCCT